TACGGTGGTCTGTTGCCAGTCTTTATTGGTACAATTATATGCATTGAGCATTGAAAATTCCCATGAGATGGAAGAAAAGTTTCATAGAACCACTTGTAACCGTAACGAACACAGCAACAAACCAATCATGCATGTGCGCGCGCGAATGTTCAACCAAGCGCATGTTTAGTGTATAATCAATCACTGTCACAGGTTTTTCGAATACGTTCATTAGTCACTCGATCACCTTTGCCACTGTCTTGCTTTCATACGGTGATGGTTGTCAACAATGTGAAAATCTCGTTTTCATGCCACCGTAATGTCATGAGTCATTGGCGCAAGTAACACACTGCAGCACGTCTCAACACCACGAGCACCCTGCGTTGACCTGGGCCATATGTTGTCCCACGATTAGAACGCACTGTGCCCCGCACATCAGTTCTTGTTCACATCGCAAGAAATCGCGAGTAAATGCTTGTGTACGCAGTTATCGGTATATAATGCGTATGCCCTTACCAAGAATAAGGTGCCATCATGTTTCTCACGTACGTCACCTGAGATAACCCAATAACATCTTGTATCTTTCAATGTTTTACTCCGTGTATACAAAAAATAACCAACAACCAGCCACTGTCACAATCACAGAGTAACACAAACCGTTTTTTATATAAACCAAAGCGTTTTCCTCTTGCTCGGTATATATTGCTGAATGACAGTCCATAACCTTTGAACAAAATCAACGACTCCGTCGATTAACAAGAGATTCTGTGAATGGATAAAATATATGCTGAACTTTTGTTTCGAAGATACATGAAAACACTGCTAAATCTTTATAACCTGTACTTCAGAGCTGTCAGGCCTATTGGTGGTATTTTGTCAGAGAAATGCAAAATACTAAGGAGTACAGACTAAACCATGTTCACTGGTAGATTTCACTGAAGAGCGGGTAGAAAATTAGCTGATCTGTGACCAGTATGCTTTTATATTATGCTTATAGACGTGAGGCATAAGCATTATTGATTGCAAAAAGCAAATAACATTCTGCCAACAGTCGTCTATTTCCACCTGTTAGTCTGACTGTGGTGATAAGAACGTATTTGCCCATGGAGTACTCAATATTATTACTTTCCCTGACAATAATTTCCATCATGGCTTGGTCCAAAGAATAATTCAAAGAATTCCAGTTCATTTGCCGTGTTTCCCAATGGGAAAGTTATAGTAGAATTCCACTTTGAGTAGTCATCAAAAGAGTTTTTGGTGAGGTCATGGGAACAAAATTGTGTGATTTTTGCTTAGCCAATCCCACATCGGTTTGCCTGTAGATTACTGAGCATCATAGGCTGGTTGTGGTGGGCTGTGGCTGGCGCTCCGCATTGTCCTTGAACTGACGAGGTCAGCAGCGTGGGTCCCAGCGTGGCCTGTGCGTACACAGCATAGCGTGCCACTACCCATCCACGCACACAACCCAATCTTGAGCCTGTGGTCTATCCTGCCAGTGTAGCCACATCATCCTCACTATCAAACCTAAAACTGGCTGGTGTGGCCCACGGGATGTGCTCCGGAGCTACCCGTCCCCTGGGCAAAGCATAGGGTACACTACCGAGCGCTGTGGCGGCGAACATACCGACATGCTTCACTGGTGAATATGATTCCTCACTATCACTAACTTCGAAGATCGTCGAGCGCTAATCAAAATCACAGTCCACGTTCACTATCATCATCATTACCACCGAAGTCAGAGGCCTGGCCACGCTGAAAATATTAGTTTTCTCTTACGATGAGAAACAACCGACCGTGAGTCACTAGTGCCCACAACCAGAGTAGAAGGCGTTGAAGGATCGTCAGGGTTTTCTGCACTATTAAATCGATATCCTGGTCATTCTTTTCGGTCACTAACTGATCAGAGAGCCGTAGAATTCGTCCATCATTTCCACTTTCCCTCAGTGTCAGAACTATCAATAGAAGAGGATCGTCCCAATTATCCGGGTAGTGAGAGCTGACATTGCTGACTAGCGCATCATGGTGAGACAAGGGTAACTGAGGCCGGCGTTCCCCACAATGACTATGCGGCGGCCTAGATTTTTTGTTTATGGCGCACACCCACCACGCAGACCCGTTCTCTCACATGTAGGCCTATGAGCGTTTTCCCGCGCTAAATTTTTGACGGCGCTAAAATTTGGCGTAGATCTACAGGTTTGCCACTCAACCCGTGAAGCCGAGATCTACGGACGGACCCTGAAAAACAGGGTTAATATAAAGATTAGCTGTAAACTATGTTGTCTGCATTTATTGCATAATTTATATGCACTGATCGATAATTACTTGTGAAGCCGGGTGGAGGACAACATTACGTTTTTCTCCTCTGTTCCGCCCATCAGAGAAACGTGTATGAATCTGGCGTTTGCCCCGCCACTCCCCCACTCTCCTGCTTTGTTTACAATTTTTGGCAATGAATATTCATTAGCTTCTACCTTCGATTTTATGATGGCATCTAAATGTACTTGTTACATCTTGCTTTAAATACATTTGAACAAGGCATGTCGATGTAATAATATGGCTCATGGGGCCACAGTGTAGTAGCCGGTAGGTGTAGCCCAGGCTATCACCAACCGGCTACCAACACTGACTTTATACAAATAAATACTACTCCGCCTCTCTCCTATATTAATATAGCTACACAAAAAAAAGAATATTTTAAGGTAAATAATGAGTGTACTGGAATGTGCATTTTACCTCTCAGGGATATTAATATTCATCATATTAAGTGTGAGACGGGGAGCCAGTGGCTAGACCTACACTGGCTACCTGCACCCTGACATCCATTCCTACAATAAGTACTACTCACCTCTCTCCCTATATTAAGATTACAAATACTTAAAGATAAGTAATGAATTTACTGTGACTGTATTTTACTTTGTGTGTTTTTAATGCCTAGTTCTATTACTAACTTAATATAATTTAGTGTAAACTTGTTGTCTGGCATTTATATGCATTTATAAATGGAAAAAAATGGAGTTCTGCCTTCCGGCGATGTCTGCTTTCCGGCGACAGCCTGGAACCTAACCCGCCGTATAAGTGGGGCCCTACTGTACTTATTTAGCCCTTTCTAAGATTTTTGCTCCTGAATATTTTTAAAATTTTGAGATGACTTGTCTCGACAAACTATGCACATCATGCTTCGACAAACCATGCACATCCTAAACCAGTTTCATGGCCCATTGGAGAAATGTTTTTAATTTTTTATAATTAATAATATATATATGGTAACGGTGGTTATAAATGACCATAATTTTTAAAGCGGTGGACCGGTAAGCCAGCGGAAGGCCTCGGTCAGATGACCAAAAGCTCCAAAGGCGGGTCATCATCTGACTAAGACCCGCGTCAGGAAACATTTGTCCTGTTTCCTGACGAACCTTACCTAACCTAACCTAAATAAATAATACATTGATGATAAATGTAGGGTAGTAGAAGTATTAAGTGTACAAGGTATTTATTTTATTAAAAAATACATGGTTTTAAAATTACAAAATACACTTAAATGCGAATTACAATAATTTTCACTTCTAAGTAAATTGATTAACCCTTTGACTGTTGCAAGCCCCTTTCTGAAACTCATTCTATGTCGCAAAATTTTTGAGAAAAAAAAAATTTTTCTTATGAAATGATTAGAGAATCTTTTCCCGATGGTAATGACACCAAAAGTACGAAATTTGGTCAAAAACTCATGGAATTACGCTCGCGTGAAGTTTAGCGGTCTCTGTGACATACACGCATCGGCGATTTCGCCGACTTTGAGCCCTGTTTTTGGTCAATTCTGTTGTTCCAGTTGACCAAACTCATAGCTATTTCTTTAGAACTCCATTTTGTCTATCAGTTGAGTACAAGAAACCACCCATTTACCGATTTGAAGTACCCAATAACGTGGTCAGAAATTGGCAATTTGGCCAATTTCACACAAATTAAAAAAAATGCCAATTTCAAAATAAGGTCCAGAATAAACAATGTAGACATTCTTGGCACTAAAATAACATATCCTCTGTTCATTAGTCACGTCTCTAGGCCCCTCTTATATTACTATTGCTTTCTATTTTGATTTTTTATTCATACAAAAAATACAAAATTTACTGTTATGCAGACTACTGCATTATTGTAAAAATGGTATAAATGTCAGCATAGTTGCTGATCCCCTTATGTGTTGTATAGCATATCATAGTACCATCCATGTGCTTTATATAGAAGATCCCTAGGCCGAGTAACTGTATGACGTCACGGGATACAGCATGAGTTAGTGAGACAAGCTGCCTCCCTCTCAGCCGACGCATAGGCATAGAAGAAGGCAGAACACGGCAGGCTGGGCTCCCTCCATCTCCCATTACCACAGTCTGACAATATAGCGTTACCATCCAACAAGTGAGTTTACCTTATCCATCCATCTCCTTCCGAACCCCACACAACATAAATAATATCAGTGCACTAGTGAAAGAATATTAGACTCCCCAGTTGATGTGTATTGGACGTGTGGTGTGATTTGCTTACTCCTGAACATTATTAAAAATCGAACATTTCCGCTACTTTGAGCTCAATTTCCAGGTCGTTTTTGCCGTGAAACTAATCAAAATCATCTCTATTTCTGTAATATGTTTTCCATTTTATCACGTGAGACCATGAAATGAGAATACAACAATAAATACTATATGAAAATACACCTCAAAGTCGGCGTTTTAATCCAAACGAACGGTCATTTTTTTTTTTCTCTTAAAATGCTATAGGGTTAGTGTACTTTTATTTATTGCTCCCTTGTTTTTCTTCAGGGGTATTTCACACCATCTGCAGTACCTTCTGCTGTCATAAGTAATTTGAAAGCCCAGTTAGAAAACCTTTGTTTTCCAGGGAATAGAGATTTAAGAACTTCGGCATACCCGGTAATTTAGTTATTTAAACTGATACTTGCCATTTAAGCTTGTCCCTACTTCAGATTTGCAATTTGTTGCACAACCCCTTTTCAAAAAATGCTTCATTTGCAGCAGCCACAGCAGGTTGGCGGAGGTCATCAGCATCACAACCAGAGAGTCCTGCACAACCCCAATTTAAGCAAGGAGCGTGACCATCTCAAAGATCATCTCGAGGTTCCAATTGATACATCAGGAATGTCTGAACAGGAATTGCAGTTTCATTACTTCAAAATGCATGATGCAGATAACAACAATAAGCTTGATGGGCAGGAACTTATCAAATCTCTCTTTCATTGGCATGATGCAGCCAACCATGATGCTGGAAAGACTGGCCATCCTCCACCTGAACCAAAGCTCTTTACTGATGACGAGCTGGTAAATATGATAGATCCAATTTTACTTCAGGATGATAAGAATAAAGATGGATTTATTGATTATCCAGAATTTGTTCAGGCTCAGCGTAATGCTGCAGCAGCAGCAAGTGCTAATGCTGTTTAGAGATTCTCATTAACTTATAATTTATAAGTGATAAGTCATTTTCTTCAGTGAAAGATTGCTACCATAGAATTATAGAAAAAGTATAACTCCCTAAATGCTTGTGAAAATATCTTAGTCAAAGGCTGTGATTTCACATTAGTTGTGACATGGGATAAGGTAGTTTTCCTAAAAGGATACAGAGTTTTAGTATTAAATAATTGTATAGCAAGTACAACCTATCCTCACTTAAGAGTTCCATTCCTGAGACCACGTCATTAAATGAATTTGTCACTAAGTGAGGAGCCTACTATAATGGTAGAGTTTGTGTTAGCCATCTTTGATATTGTTTTAATGTCACCTTTGCACCGTTTATAACATTTCTGGTATATTTTTAAATGTTTGTACAGTAGTGTACTGTATATTGAAATAAACAGAATAGAGGAAATCAGCTGTAATATACATTATTTAGGTATGAATACTGGTCAAAGAGCCCATCATAAGTCCGAGGCGTCGGTAAACAAGTACGTCTAAGTGAGGAGAGGCTGTATTAGGGTTATATTTGCCATAGTTTTTTAATTCTTATTGTATTTGCTGTATTGTTTTATAGTTGGTGTTAAATTATTGGCATATTTTTTGAGGGGGGAGGGGAAGTTTGCTAAATTTCACCCTTTTATAAATTGATTATGTTCTTGTAAAAGTCAATTCTCTGAATTATGAACTTTACATTAGTGAAAAAATACTAATCAGTTTAAAGATAGTGGCTGTAGAACTGATTCATATAAAAAAAATTTAATTTTCAGGGTTAATTGTTTCATTGATTTTCTATTGTTCTCATCCTTTGATTCATTAGATCCCCACATAGTTTCACACGTGATCTTTAACAAGTCTGATTATATATCAAAACCAAGTGCTAAACCCACAAGTCATAGAGCACTGCTGATATTTTTAATTATTATTACAGCCGATCTAACAAAAGTTTGTATGTACCAGTGGTGAAAAATCAGTATAAAAGAAATTGCATAGGGAATGTCAGTTGGCCCAAGAGATTTTTTTTTTTTAACTAAGTGTGATAATTTATAATCATTTACTAGTGTGGCAAGGTGGTTCTTGCATTTTGATTTTTTTTTTCCCTGTCATTGAACATCTGCATTTATTTATTACTGGTACATAAGTAATTTTTGTCATTTTTGAAAGTCTGTCATGTGTATTGTAAAAAGTGCTAAACCTACAAGGGTCATACAGCACAGGTCCCATGTAAATTAAATTCTAATGTTATGCAAGACATTTAAGGCCACAAACCATTTTACCTTTTAACATGACAGGTAGGGCCATATTTATATTTTGTGATTGTAATCTGTTGAACAAATTAGTTTAGTTTTAAATCTTTCCATTGATAAATGTCACAATATTAATGTACACAAATCATAATATTTATTTTATGTTTGACTAATAGTAACTGATCTGTCATATTTTTACACTTAGACATGCTAGCCAACTGTGGTATATTAATTTATTACCATGGTGTACTGAGTGATAATACTAAGGTCCCATTGTTTACAAACTGGTTATGGATATATTTTGTTAAATAAAAATTTTTATTTATAATTAGTTTTATTACTTCATAAGCTCCATTCTCCACTGATTTGTTTTAATTTGTGATGCATGTAAAGAATGTATGTTGAAAAATTACATTAAAATCAAGGGCCACACAGTGCTGCAGGGCAGGGTGTTTGCTTGATTAGACTTGAGGGTGGAGAGGATAAGGTATTATAATCAAAACGAAGCGCTAAACAGCGCTGCAGGGCAGGAAGGAAGCGAGGGCATCAGGTGGCAAAAGGGAGATGGACAAGTAGTAGGTTATGGAGAACAGCAGGGCAGTGGATAGTGAAAGGGTAGAGGGCAGGAAGAGATTGAGGTAGAAAGGGCTGAGGGGAGTGCAAAAGTTATCAGAGTTTGTGGAGTAAATCAGTCGTCAAGAAGTCAATGAGAGAGTCAGGATTAAAGGAGGGTCCATCAGCAAGAAGGGAAGGTAAAGAGAGCAGTAGAGTGGAGACGACGATGGAGGTAAACTCTGTGTGCTCGTTGATAGAGGGGGCAGTAACAATGTGGCTAATCGATACTGGAACTTGACACTTCTCACAGAGGACAGAGTGCCTCTCCACGAGATACCCATGAGTAAGACGAGTGTGGCCAATGCGAAGGCGGGAGAGAGTAGTCTCCCAACCTCGGCACTGATGACAAGAAGACGGCCAGTAACTTATGCTCGGTTTAATAGAATGAAGTTTTTTATCGAGTAGAGTTGACCAACGTTGTTGCCAACGGGTGTGAAGGGGGGGTAGCTACTACAGCAAAATAGTCTGGAAATGAAACACCCCTACATGAAATTGGTAGGTCATGTACTGCTGACCGCGCAGGTGTGTCTGTTCATTGCCCTGTACGTCAACATGACCAGGGACCCAACAAAAAAGCTATCTTTATGCTTGGTAGAGATACGGCATAACCAAAGTTGGATACGGAGAACTAGGGGGTGAGGTGTATCAAATTTCCGTATAGCCTGTAGAGCACTAAGGGAGTCTGAGACAACCACAAGTGATAACACAGGCATAGATGCGATACGAATAAGTGCTGCAAGAATGGCATACAATTCAGCAGTAAAAATGCTAGCCGAAGAGAGTAAATGCCCTTGCACGACGCTGTCCGGAAACTGCTGCAAATCCGACGCCGTCAGAAGACTTAGAGCCATCTGTGTACACTGCGATGGCATGAGAATGAGAGTGGAAGTGGTCAAGAAAGAGAGAGCGGGAAGCCACCGTAGGCAGTTGGGCTTTCAAGCAAGGGAGTGAGAAAGAACAGATCCGAACAGCTGGAACTTCCCAGGGGTGTAGGGAAAAGCGAGATGCTACATGAACATATAAAGATGGTAACTGAAGGGAAGACGAACGAATGTAGGCGAAGAGAGAAGGGACGGAGCAAATGGGCGGCGAACAAATGAAGAATGTCTAATATCGGCGACCATTCTATAAATGGAAGGATTGCGGAGATCGTGAGAGCGCACATAATAGCGAAAACAATGGGCATCATAGCAGCGCTGTATAGCCCTTGTGGCTTAGCGCTTCTTTTTTATTATAATAATAATAATGGGCATCACAGCGATCAGACAAGGATGGAACATTTGCTTCTGCACAGAGGCTCTCAACAGGGAAAGAGCGAAAAGCACCAAGGTGTAAATGTAATCCTTGGTGATGGATGGGAGAGGCCGCTGAATAGATCTGGTCACCATAATCGAGTTTCGATAAAATAAGGGCTGAATGTAGGCGAAGGAGAGTTTGACTATCAGCTCCCCATGAAAGATGAGCAAGGGTTTTAAGAAGGTTCAGCCGGCTGTGACAAGTTGCCTTCAGAGAGGTAATGTGAGGTTTCCAGGATAACCTATGGTCAAAGAGAAGTCCTAGAAACCTGACTATCACGTTCAGGGATACGGGAGCCATAGAGGTACAAAGGATGATCGGAGACAGAGCGTCTAGTGAAAGTAATTTGGTGAGTTTTATTTATTTTATTATTATCACACCCCTCAAGGAAGGTTCCTTGATGTTGGTGAGGGGCTCTTGATTTAGGGAATTGGATCTGTGCTCCAGTTCCTCGAATTAAGCCTGAATGCCTTCCACATCCCCCCCCCAGGCGCTGTATAATCCTCCGGGTTTAGCGCTTCTCCCTTGATTATAATAATAATATTATTATCACACTGGCCGATTCCCACCAAGGCAGGGTGGCCCGAAAAAGAAAAACTTTCACCATCATTCACTCCATGATGGTGAGTTTTAGTACTGGAAAATTTAAACCCATGCGTTGTGGCCCAGTTGGAAACAAGGTCGACCTCATGCTGGAGAGAAACTGTAATGAGGTGACAGTCAGCGCCTGCACAAGCAATAGCGAAGTCATCAACATAGAGTGATGACCAAATATTGGATGGAAGAACAGAGGCCAAATCATTTATAGCAAGGAGAAAAAGTGTTGTGCTCAGAACACATCCCTGAAGGACACCTTCAGCTTGGACAAAGTCCGGAGAGAGCACATTATTAACTCAGACATTTCCGTGTTTGTCAGTTAAAGAGTTCTTAAGAAAGGATGATATATTGCCTCGGAGGCCTAAGGAGTGGGCTTGGGCCAAAATATTATACCTCCAAGTTGTCATATGCCTTCTTAAGGTAAAAAAAATATGGCAATAATTGAGTGGTTATTCACAAAGGCATTACGAACATACATATCCAAGCGTAATAAGGGATCTATGGTAGATTGTCTATTACGAAAGCCATATTGACTAATGGAGAGACTGTTGGGTGTCTCTAAATACAACATTAAACGTCGATTTACCAGACGTTCCTTCACTTTGCAAACTGCACTAGTAAGAGCAATGGGACGATAGTGGGAGGCATCATGTCCCGTAGTACCCGGCTTGCAGAAAGGGAGAACAATGGCAGATTTCCACAGCTGGGGAAGAACTCCTTATGACCAAATAAGATTGAAGAGGTGTAAGAGGACTGCAAGGGCTGACTGATGTAAATGTTGTAGCATATGAATATGAATGTCGTCAGGCCCAGCTGCCGATGATTGGCAAACTGAGAGCTTTGCCTCCAGTTCCCGAAGTGTAAAAGGCACATTATACTGTTCTTCTCTAAGAAGAAAAGTCCAGGGGTACTAACTCTCTGGCAGACTTTGAGGAAAGAAACGAGGGGCATAGATGGAGCTCCTGAGAAATACGGACCAGATGATTGCCAATTTCAATGGCAACATCAAGAGGGTTTGCTACAGTCACCCAAGAGACCTGCATGGAGACCACCCTACAGCTTATCAAGGACCACCTTCGCCTTAACATACGTAGTGACGACCTAAAGGATTGCAAACTGATGGGCTACCAAGCAGGTAAAAAAAACAGTGCTGTTAAAATTCCAAACTAGCCTACAAAGAAACAACCTACTAAAAACATCTATTTCTATGAAAACTGATGTTTACGTCAACGAGTGCCTTACCAAAACAAGACAAAACCTTCTTTATCGGCTAAGAAAATTACGCTATGCCCAAAAAATCCACCAGTGCTTTGTGAGGGATGGAAAAAATCGCAGTTAGGAAACAGCCCACTGGGAAGAGATACTTCATCTCTACAGAACATGACCTTAAAACATTCCTAAGTGAGGCTGGACTAACAGAATCAGAGTAAAGTGCAGATAATACCCATAGTCCACCGTTAGTGTTATATTGTCATAAATTTGTGCCCCCTAAAATTCTAATACCCCAACTACTTTTGATTGTCATTGTTGTATTCAACGACCATTCTACCTCATAGTCTTAATTGTGTTTAATATCTACAGAATCTATCTCCTTTTTTACAACTTACCACATCACTGTTCTATCTTATTTTATTATAAACTAACCATAACTTGTCTTCAATAATTCTACCTCACTTTAAAAAATACTCAATTGCCCAATTTTATTTTAAATCCCTATTATTGCCCAATTTTACTTTAAACTATATTGATCAAACTTATTGTAAACTTCTTTTATTGACCATTTTTTATTCCATACTTTTTTAAACTAGTATTTTCAACTACAACTTTTATATTATCCTGTCCCACCATCTTACTAGCATATTATAACCAAGTCATTGCCATTTTTATTTTTATCATTTTTTTTTATTATTCTTTTGCTACCTTAATTTGTGTATTTTATCCTGTCAATTTATTTATTTATTTATTTATTTATTTCAAAATTTGAGCACACATACAGAGGTACAAAAAATACAGATAAGAGCAGCATGCCAAAGCCACTTATACTATGCATAGCATTACGGCGGCTTAAAATTAACTTAAGATGAACTAAGCAATGATGACATCAGTGATAAAACTTTAATGTATACAGATTACTATAAAGCACAAGTGAGTATTACAAAGACAGGTCATATGGTTTATGCATTGTTGTACTTCAGTAGAATGGAGTATTCTGTTAGGTAGTGTATTTAAAAAATAATAAAGTTAGATTGGGTTTTAGGTTTAACATTTATGTGATATAATTGTGAGAAACATTTAAGATATACAATTTATAAGGTTCAGTTATTCGTATTTATTTGGTTTTGGGTGAGTAAGTGATCTTTGAGAAGAGACTTGAATTTATAAACAGGTAGTGTTTTCTTTTATATTTACAGGTAATGAGTTCCAGATTTTAGGGCCTTTTATGTGCATTGAGTTTTTGCATAGTGTGAGATGGACACGAGGAACATCAAAGAGTGATCTGTGCCTTGTGTTATGGTCATGTGTTCTGTTGAGGTTGGCAAGGAGATGTTTGAGGGAGGGTTAATATCAGAGTTAAGTGTTCTATGTATGTAATAGGTGCAGTAAAAGTATGAATGTTTTGTATGGTGAATAGGTTTAGTGATTGAATATTGGTGGAGTGTGCTGCCTATAGTGAGAATTTGTTATCATTCTAACTGCAGCCTTTTGTTGGGTAAATTAGTGTCTGAGATGGTTACTTGTTGTTGAGCCCATGCACAAATTCCATAGGTGAGATAGGGTAAATAAGAGAGTGATATAGGGCCAGGAGGGCTGACTGTGGAG